GAAACCTACGAAATCCACCACAGGCTTTTCATAATATGTGTCTTCCACGATGCTCTTTGAAGCCCCTGCATACGCACTGAGCATCCACTACTGGCCAGGTGCTGTGCTAGGTGTTGGCGGTCATTGGCAGGTGACAGAATCAGATCCCTGCCCTCACTGGGCTTGCATTCTAGAGAGGGAGACACAGAAGCCACCGGACAAGACAGCAAACTATGACAGGCGCTATGACGGAACCAAAGGGGCAGCGGAGGCGGGAGGACAGCGCAGCTGGGAGACGGTGCTCCGAGGAGGGAAGATTCGGGCCACAGATCTAAGAAACAAAGAATGGGCCGTGCGGGACGCATGGACAGAGCTTCCCGAAGCGGAATCAGCGCATGCAAGGAACCTGCGGCAGGAAAGGGCTCGGTGAGTCTGAGCGTGGCTGGAATGCACCGTGTGGTGCTTGGATCCCAGTGTGCAGGGTCTCCCGGGCCTTAGCAGCAGTCTGGGTTTTATCCTGAGGGCACGGGAAGCTATGGGGAGGTACAGAGGTTAATGCATGGACGTGACCCGTTCTAGTGACAACGATGGTGGCCTCACCCGGGGGGGTGGGTGGCAGAAGTCAGAGCAAGAGGATCGATTCAGGTACAGCTGGGTTTGTGGGGGTACAGCTGGCTCCTGCGTTCTGGTTGCAGGGTCAACCCCACAGCACTGCCCTCTGGGACGGACACAGGGACACATCTCACCTGCCAGAGCAGGGGGCGCCCCAGAGGACGCACCATTGCCGTCTCCTCAGGGGCAGCCCTCAGGCAGCTGGGACTCTGCACACCCGTGGAGGAACAGAGCCAGGGCCAGAGGGGCCTCTGCTGCCTCCCGTGGGCCACCTCACTGTCTCCATGAAGCCGGCTGCCTCCTCACCTCTGGGCACGTCCTATATTATGTCCTATTCCCACACCACGCAGAGCAGGCATGGCAGACAACAGCACCCTTGCGACAGGTGCACAAAAAGGCCCAAGAGGCATGACGTGATAGGGTGTAACTACTTAGTTAAGAATTTAGGAAAGGGGTTGACACTGTGGTGTAGCAGGTAGAGCCTCCATCTGCATTGCTGGCTTCCTATATGGGCACTGGTTCAAGTCCCAGCTGCTCCACTTCAGATCCTGCTCTCTGCTATGGCCTAGGAAAGTGGTAGAAGATGGCCCAAGTGCTTGGGCCCCTGCACCCATGTGGGAGACCTAGAAGAAGTTCCTGGTTTCAGAATGGCTCAGCTCCGGCTATTGCGGCCATTTGGGGAGTGAACCAGCAAATGGAAGACCCCCCAGCCCCTCTGCCTCTGCCTCTCTGTAACCCTGCCTTTCAAATAAATACAAAAATCTTTAAAAAAAAAAATTAGGTAAACTGGAACTCTTCCATCCTTGCAAACTGGCACTGTCTCTTTAACTGTCGACTGGATGGGAGGCACCTGTCACATCGGGGACCAGGCACAGGCTCAGACCCCGTCTCGGGCTGTCTGATTTGGGCACCACCTCCTTCCTGATAGAAAGAGGCTGAGTGTGGACAGAGCTCTCCACCACTTAACGCACTGGCACGTGCCACTCCCGACTGGTCTCAGAGGGAGGCTCCAGTGCACGTTCTCAGTCTTTTTCTCTCGTGTTTTGCAATTCTTTGGCCCACACTGGAGCATGAATGTGCATTTACTCCCTCGCTGCTAACTAAACTCTGTTCCTATCCACGCACGACACCACTTAGTGTCTTTAGCTCTGTGGGAGATGAGAGCCTAGACCGGAAGTGACCATCTCACTGCCCCCAACAAGTGGACCAGCACTTCCTGCTCTGGGCTGGGACCGAGACGCCTGGGGCAGAAAGCGGCCCCGGGTTCTGCTGCGGCAGTAACACATCAGCAGGAATCCAGCAGCGTCTACCGACCTGCCTGGTCGCCCCGCAGACCTGAGGTTCCGCGGTTCAGTGTGCATCTCTGCTCCAGGTTCCGCCGGCTGCAGTGAACACGCTGGGTGGCCTGGGCTTCTGCCTGGAGACCCCCGGAGACTGCGGCTCCCGGCTTCACTCAGGCGGCTGATGCACACCCAGCCCCGCATTCCTCGTCACGCTGCACCCCACATCACACTGGGACTCCCGCTCCGGCTCCTCTCTGACCTCCCGCCTCCAGCCAGAGAAAGCCTGCTTTCCAGGGGGTGCGGATCCTGCACCTGGAAATCCAGCCCCTCCCCCTCAGACACCTGCGGAGTCCCTCCTGCCAGGGAATGATCGGAACCGCAGGGGTCAGGGACCAACCTTGAAGTCAAAGCTCCACCAGGTCTTGGGGCTCCCAGGGAAGCAGGAGGAGACCAGACCAGCCAGGGCCTTCCAGGGTCCTCTGAGCTGAGACCCCCCTGGTAACCGATTACCAGCCGGCCCTCTGCCCGGTCAGAGCAAGCCTCCCCGGCTCACCTGCGGGCCTCCCCAGCCACTGGGGCTCTCAGACCCCGGCAGCCCGATCTCCCTGCGGCCCGTCTCTGATGTCCCCTAGCGCAAAAGCACCTTGTGCTGGCCCGAGCCCTGCAGTGTCGAGCCCGGCTCCTTGACCAGTGACCAGGAGGCCTCGGATGGCGACCGATCTCCAGGCTGGTGCCCACCCCGTCCCCCAGTAGGTGAGCCACTGGGAGACCCTGCGCAGCCAGCAGCCCCTCCCCCTCAGCCTCCTCTGCCTCCCTCCAGACTGGCCAATTCTCCCTTTCTCCACAGAACCCTGGCTCCTGCTCAGCTGGACGTGGGCCTGGGGCTGCATTCACGCTGGCCCCAGTCTCGCTCTCCGGGCTGTCTGACGTCATTTCCCTCTCCACCATGGTCTTACACGGCGCAGGGACACACACAGCTGGCTGAACTGCTCCTGGATCTGCAGTCCCTTCAAATATTCTTCTGGTTTTGGCTTGTGTATGAGGAGAGAGGGGCAGGGCTTTGCCTTTGTCACATTTTTTTTTTAAACAAAAACTATTCATGTATTGATTTGAAAGGCAGAGTTACAGCGAGAGAAGGGGGAGGGAGGGGGGAGGGAGACAGAGAAATCGTTCATCAGCTGGTTCGCTCCTCAGATGGCCACAATGACCAGAGCTGGGCCAGGCTGAAGCAGGAGCCAGGAGCCTCCTCCGGGTCTCCCCCGCGGGTGCAGGGGCCCAAGCACTTGGGCCATGTTGCTGCTTTCCCAGGTGCATCAGCAGGGAGCCAGATGGGAAGCGGAGCATCCAGGACACAAACTGGTGCCCTCGTAGGATGCCTGCACTGCAGGCAGCGGCTTCACCCACTCTGCCACGATGCCCACCCCCTTCCGCACATTTCTAGGGTAACATGGGTGTCCCCCAGGCTGCCCGTCCTACAGGGGCCCCGGGAGTGTTAGTGCCCCGTTACCCCAGAGTCCCCAGAACCCCAGTCCCCTTTCAGTACCGTGGGGCAATCCCACTTCCCACTCTCACACCCTCACACTGAAGCTCAGCTCGGAGCCCCCGTCTCCCAGGACTGTCCACACACAGAGGGAGGCGCGGCCCCGGCCTGCCCCACCCACTCCCAGCCGGTGTGCCCATCAGGAGCTCCCGTCACTGTCTCCACCTGCACACACGGTGTGCACAGCTGTTCTACGCTAACTAGATGGCAACAGGGCAGACCTCGCCCCCAGCCCACCCTGATTGAACCCACCCCTTTGCATGATCCTGTGCACCAACCTGGGCTCGGTGCCCTGCACCTGAAGGGCTCAGGCACTGACCACAGTTAAGCCCTGGAGACGTGGACCAACACGACCCAAGCAGCTCCGGGGAGCTTCTCGTGAGAGGGCAGCCGCTGTGTGGGGCACCCGGGCGTTCCCACGCACTCACGCAGGGGCAGACCCGCGCCCCTTCCTGCAGGGAGCCTAGGCTCTCAGACCCTTCCTCCCTCCAACTGACCACCACCTGGAAGGCACGTGGAGCCAGAGCACTGACTGACCCGTCTCTCCTGTGGTTCCCCTAAAGCTGGGAAAAGGAGAATGAGAAAGAATTGTCCTCCCAGAATTCTTCCCCAGCTCCTGAACAGCGCCCCCCATCTAGGGACAGCAGCACTAATTTCAACCCAAGGATCACCCGCTCAAAGCCTAACGCCCAGCTCCTGCCACACGCCCAACCCTGGAGACTCACGCTGCCTGCGCTGGTTCCGTCCCTGTCTGCACAGCACAAGCTGCTCCCTCCTCTCTGTGCACTGGGTTTAGCCCCATGTCTGCCGTACAGACAAGGACGGCTGTCCCCACCCCTCCCTCGTGCTGACAGGCAGCTCTGGACTCCTCCCCTGCACGGGTCAGCGCGGCCAGCTTGCCCTCCGGGCCGGGAACCCTCCCTTCTCAGCAGCTCTGGGGCGCAGGGACCACACTCACAGAGGCTTTGCCTTACTGCTGAGCCCTGCAGCTTTAGGGAGTAACATCCACGTCTTATTTCAACACAGTCTGGAATATCACTCGGCTTGCCAATTTAAAAGATTAAGAGAATTTCTTCTTTTAGCCTTACACAGTCAAGTTCAATGACGCTTGCATCAGATGCTGTCAGCACAGCTCTGAAATCAGGTTGACTAATAAACACTGAAAACCCATCGGCAGTTCTGACGTGGCCACACGGCTGCTGCCGACAGCAGAGCTAAGACAGGCGCCCCGATTTATAACACTCTAGAGTTACAATTTAAAGTCCCGGCGTTCTCACCTTCAACATAGGAAGAAAGTTCCTAGTACCAAGTCCCTTCTTCCACAACTCTTCTACTTGTTCAAAAGCCCACGTGTTAACTTGCTCTATATTTGAGCCATGACGTACTGACTATATTTCTATTTTTCCAGGAGTTTTCGGTTGCCTTTCTTTTCATCCACAGAAAAAAAAAATCTATTCAAAACACACCGCATCTTGAAACTTGCCGCTCCCTTGTCCTGTCTGCCGGGGGCTTCATTTGTTTTGAAGGCCGCTGGTCCTCTGCTCCAAGCTGGAGCGACAGTTTCTTCAGACTCAGTGCACAGCGGGCATCTGGGACTCCTGTCCTTAACGTTCCAGCCAGGCCAACACTGTCTTTTATGCCAGCTCTTCCGCTGTCACCCTTGTTGTGCTGGGGTCTGCCTCAGGTGACGTCCTTGGGAGGACCCTGAGGGTCACCCTGTGAGGACTGACGGAGGTCACCCTCTGAGGACTGACACAGGTCACCCTGTGAGGACTGACGGAGATCACCCTCTCAGGACCCTGACAGAGGTCACCCTGTGAGGACTGACGGAGGTCACCCTCTGAGGACTGATGGAGGTCACCCTGTGAGGACTGACACAGGTCACCCTGTGAGGACTGACAGAGGTCACCCTCTGAGGACTGACGCAGGTCACCCTGTGAGGACTGACGGAGATCACCCTCTCAGGACCCTGACACAGGTCACCCTGTGAGGACTGACGGAGGTCACCCTCTCAGGACTGACGGAGGTCACCCTCTCAGGACTGACAGAGGTCACCCTCTGAGGACCCTGAGAGAGGTCACCCTCTGAGGACTGATGGAGGTCACCCTGTGAGGACTGACACAGGTCACCCTGTGAGGACTGACAGAGGTCACCCTCTGAGGACTGACACAGGTCACCCTGTGAGGACTGACGGAGATCACCCTCTCAGGACCCTGACAGGGGTCACCCTGTGAGGACTGACAGAGGTCACCCTCTGAGGACTGACGCAGGTCACCCTGTGAGGACTGACGGAGGTCACCCTCTGAGGACTGACGGAGGTCACCCTCTGAGGACTGACACAGGTCACCCTGTGAGGACTGACGGAGGTCACCCTCTCAGGACTGACGCAGGTCACCCTCTGAGGACTGACGGAGGTCACCCTCTCAGGACTGACGCAGGTCTCCCTCTGAGGACTGACGGAGGTCACCCTCTCAGGACTGACAGGTCACCCTCTGAGGACTGACGGAGGTCACCCTCTGAGGACTGACACAGGTCACCCTGTGAGGACTGACGGAGATCACCCTCTCAGGACCCTGACAGGGGTCACCCTGTGAGGACTGACAGAGGTCACCCTCTGAGGACTGACGCAGGTCACCCTGTGAGGACTGACGGAGGTCACCCTCTCAGGACTGATGGAGGTCACCCTCTGAGGACTGACGGAGGTCTCCCTCTGAGGACTGACAGAGGTCACCCTCTGAGGACTGACGGAGATCACCCTCTCAGGACCCTGACAGGGGTCACCCTGTGAGGACTGACAGAGGTCACCCTCTGAGGACTGACGCAGGTCACCCTGTGAGGACTGACGGAGGTCACCCTCTGAGGACTGACGGAGGTCACCCTCTGAGGACTGACGGAGGTCACCCTGTGAGGACTGACACAGGTCACCCTCTCAGGACCCTGACAGAGGTCACCCTGTGAGGACTGACGGAGGTCACCCTCTGAGGACTGACGCAGGTCACCCTGTGAGGACTGACGGAGGTCACCCTCTCAGGACTGATGGAGGTCACCCTCTGAGGACTGACGGAGGTCACCCTCTGAGGACTGACGCAGGTCTCCCTCTGAGGACTGACAGAGGTCACCCTGTGAGGACTGACGGAGGTCACCCTGTGAGGACTGATGGAGATCACCCTCTCAGGACCCTGACGGAGGTCACCCTGTGAGGACTGACACAGGTCACCCTCTCAGGACTGACAGAGGTCACCCTGTGAGGACTGACGCAGGTCACCCTGAGAGAACTGATGGAGGTCACCCTCTGGGTCCTTGTGTCTGAACCGCGGATTTATTTTTACCTCATACTTGACTATGAGCCTAAAAATAAAACCCTCATTTCAAAACCACCTCCCCCCGTCACTTTGAAGTCCTTACTTTCATACGCTAGCTCCTAGCCTTGCTGGGCAGAGCTCAGGGCTACGCGTCCAGCTGCGGTGAGCTGACACGCAGCCCCGCCGTCAGCACTGTGCAGACACACCTCCTCCTCCTGTGTCGCTCCCCCTCTTCGTGGAGGAGCAACACAGGACCCTGCGCTGTTCTTTTGTCTGCTCGGCCCTCCCCGGGTTTGCTGCTGGTTCTTCCCGGGTTGGCTACTATCCCTTCCACCTCCGTGGAAGGGCAGTTCCCCCTGGCCACATTCCCCACTTCCGCAGGGGAGCGGCACACCGCAGGCCGGCTCTTCTCGGGGGCTGCACGGGTGTTCCTTCAGCTAAATGTTCCCCTTAGATGTTCCTGGTGCATGCCGTCTCTCTCCTCCTTTATAGTCCTCCTCCGCCAATCCTAACTCGGCTGCCCACACGCCGAGTACGCTGCTCTCCTCCAATCAGGAGCAAGTCCTACAGTTTATTAGTTGAACTGGAGGCAGCTGTGCGGAAGCTGTTTACTTCTCTCCCAGCGCCATATTGTGGGAGAGCAGATGCATAGAATAAGTCTTAATTCCAGTAACTCAGTCCAGTCCGGGCTGCTCCCCACACTCCTGCACCGGGAGCAGCGGCACGCCACAGTCAGCACCGAGGATAATTCTGAGTAACCTCGCTAGGAGGGTGATAAGACCTTCGAATGGAAAGCAAAGTGCCTGTATCTCTGGAAACCTCATCCCATCATTTCTTCTCCCTCGTCTTCTCCTTTCTTTCCCTTTTCCTGATACTCCTGTCACCGAAATACAGAACCTTGCAGATGTATCCTCTAGCTGTTTCCTTTCCGTTTTTGGTAGTGCTTCTTACTATGAGATTTCTTGCCGTTATCTTCTAATCCTTCCATTGAATATTTGGTTTGCAACCATATTTTCAATTTTCAAGAACCCTTTGTTTTCTAATTCTTCCTTTTAAAATCAAATAGAATTATATCCATTTTATAATGGGTGAAATATTCTTGAATCTCCTTTAAGCTACTTTTTTTGGGTAAGACTGATTTATTTATTTGAAAGAGTTGCAGACATGGTGGGGAGGGAGAGAGAGAGAAAGCGATCTTCCGTCCACTAGTTCACTCTCCAGATGGCCACAAGGGCCAGGGCTGGGCCAGGCTGAGACCAGGAGTCAGGAGCTTCTTCCAGGTCTCCCACATGGGTACAGGGGTCCAAACACTTGGGCCACCTTCTGCTGCTTTCCCAGGCCATTAGCAGGGAGCTGGAGCAGAAGTGGAGCAGCCGGGACTCAAACCAGTGCCCACATGGAATACTGGTGCCGTAGACGATGGCTTTAACCACCACATCACAACAGTGGCCACTAAGCTGCTATTATTATTATTACTATTACTATTTATTATTATTAC